TAGTTGCTCCAGAGGATCGGGCTTTTGTTAAAGCCTCGCCTTCAATTCTTGGATTATGAGTAAGCTTCCGATGCCCTCTGACAGACTTCAGATGACCGTGCTTTTGCCATTGATAGACTTCATTCGTCAAAGTTTAGTTCACTGATGGAGAAAGAAAGACATGGTTGCAATAAATCTTTCTAGTGATGCCTTTGTATGTTATAATTTATTTATTTCATTATTTATTTTTAAATTTAATGTGATCTCAAAGGAAATATTTGTATTTCATGCTTTCAGTGCTTCCACCTGTCTTCCGGAAAATCCAAGAACTGGTCCTCCGTTCTTGTGCACGGCACCTATTAAGGTTTTGTGCTGTGCTGCTTTTCTATGAAATTCTTCTATGGATTCTTAGGCTGCTGCCATCCTGTTTAACTCAACAAAAGTGGCTACAAAATTTGAAATTCACTATATCACTTCTTGTGCAGTATCAATATGCAAATTATACCAATCCCAAGTATAAAGACAATGGAAAAGGGATGCTGAAGCTTCAATTGATCAAGCAAAGATCGGACTTCTCTTTTGTTCTATTTTCAGGCGGATTATCAAATGTATGTTTGCCTTGCTCACCATTACCCTGAAATCTGCATGGTTCTATTGGCTGTTAAAGATTTCACAAATGGGGCAAGGATAGAGAAGCCCTCAGTTTTACTTGTTGACTTGTTAATTGTTATGTTTGACGTTTTTTTAGTTGATTGGTTAGTTGGCCACAAACTGTTTGATAATTCACGTTGTTTGGTTTCAATTTCCTGAATTATATTTTTGAAAATTGAATTTTTTGTTTTTCCTTTTTTCTGTTTTAGTGAATTTTTTTTTAATATTTTAAGGGTTTTTTTATTTTTTATTTTATTTACTTTTAACTACCGCCAGATGGATTCTAAAGGTTGCCAAACTTCTCCCAAACTGGAAAATTTTTGGAAAATCTTCACAACTCAATGCAATGTGTGTTTTTTAAAAGATTTTTTTTTAGGTCGTCTCTCAAGTTGCTTGAACTAAAGTTTTCCAATTGAAAATTATGTATAGTTGATTCAGAATAAGTGTTTTATCTTTTGGTCTCATATCTCCAAGAACAATAGGGAGAGTGATGATGCCACATTTCCTTGTATCTAAGATGGGAGCCACTCAATTCATTGTTTGTTATGATTACCTATGGCAAACCTAATTCTTTGTCTTTTGTTCATATATATTATTCCTTGTTTATTTATTTTTTCTAGTGTCTTTTTCTCTCTTATTTGATTCTTTTATGAAAATTATGTTTCCTCTTGCATGCTAGCCATTTGTGACCTCTGTTACAATTTAATTCTGCTACCTTCTTTATGAAACAGCCGAAGCTGGTGGCAGTGTCAAATACAATTACTTTTGCAAATCCAAACTCACCAGTTTACCTGCGTTTGGCACAAGGAAAGATGTGGAATGAGGTAAGTCTACTTTTGCTGTTAGTTTAGTCCCTAGGGTTTTTATATGATACTTAATGAAAGTAAGGGAGAATATATATCAGATAGCTAAGCGTTTGTTTGGTATCGATTTCATTTTCAATGTTTTTATTTTTCTTGTCTTTTGGAAAAAATCGATGAAAAGTTCGAAAACACTAATCATTTTCCTATTTGTTTTTCAATTTCTTGTGAAAACAATTTTGAAAATTTAGAAAACAGTTTTAAAATGTTTCCATAAAGGCGGTGTTATTAGGAAATTTTCCCAAAAACAGTTTGCCAAACATCCTACCTCCCTGTTTTCAATGTGTTTTAAGTATTGCGTCAAACAGTAACTTTTTTAACCTATTCCCATGTTTGAATTCTTGAGTTCTGAGCTGTCTGAGAGCCAACCCATACCATTCATCCAGCAGATCATTGATCCCACCTCTTCTAAAACAAAAAAAATTCAATTGTTGGCAGAATTGTGCCTTGCCAATACATGCCTAGGACACTCTTTAAGGTTATTTGTTATCTATGAAGCATGGGTACGGGTAGGGGTACGGGTACGGGTACGGGTACAGGTAATACGATATGGGTATGTTGATACGATCAAATCTAAAAAAAGTGTACGGGTATGGTTTGGAAAGTTTGTAAAAAAATATTTATTTTTAATTTGGAGTAATGCAAAATTTGATTAAATGGTTTAATTTGTTAACATCCAACCTACAATTAACATTTAATGCTAAAAGTAAATGTATAAATCAAAATTAAATGTCATCATATTAAATAAGTTACAAACCATAACTTAATTTTAAAATCATGCTACGTATTACACTAAAAATAAAAAAGAAGTCTACTGGAAGCAATTTTATCTTTGTAGTAGAAGAAAATATTGTTTAAACTGAGGTACGGTATACTAGGTACATTTGGGTAAGCCAAAAATTAAGAAGAAAAAATTTGAATACGTGTTTCGTGTACTCGATACGTATGCAGAAGTATCATCCTAAGGCTTGGTTTGGCATAACCACAAAAAGTCAAAAAGTCACTATCATATTTAAGTCACATCATCTTATTTAAATCACATCACATCAAACTCAATCCAAACACAACCTATATAAGCCAATAAGTCAAAAAGTGCACTTTTTTAGAGCATCCCCAACCAACCCTAAGTATCACACGCCAGAAGTATCCGGTATGAATATGGCGGCATGTTTGTCGAAGTATCTGTGCTTCATAGTTTGTCCTCTTTATATCAGGCTTGCATTTTCTTGAGAAAATGATGCTCTTTTAATATACTCAGATGACTGTGACTTGGACAAGTGGATATGGAATCAATGAAGCAGAACCTTTTGTTGAATGGTGTCCACAAGGAGGAGAACAAAGGCAATCCCCAGCTGGAACATTGACTTTTGACCGCAACAGCATGTGCGGTGCGTAATACTTTTTTCTTTTAATTTTTCTTGTAAGCTATACTTGGTTATGGATTGAAGTGTATGAATTTTTTACTATAAATCAAACTTATTTGGGTAACTTGTTTTCACAAAATTTTCAAAAGTTGGATGTAAAATGGAATAGTTTGACCGCAACAAATCCAAAAAAAAATAAAAAATAAAATAAAAAAAGAGATAAATGAACAATATGAATATCTTTTTTTTTTTTTTTTGGAGCCCATGTAATGGCCCAAGTGGTCACGAAGAGGCAACTTAAGTCCCAAGAGTGTGAGATTTCAAGTTTGAGTTTACGGAGAGATGTTGATTTTAATTTTGAGTTTACGGAGAGATGTTGGCTTGCATTGTAAGCTAACTCTACTAACATACTAAACGCTATGTTGTGCCCAAAAAAAAAAATTTTAGTTTTATTTTTTATCCTTAAAGATTTGATTAAAACTAAAACTAAAACAAAAAATATGTTTGGTATACACATGTTTTAAAAACAAGTGAAAAGGGGTGATTGGTGGGAGGTGGTGGCCGAAGATGGTTGTCAACGGTCAGAGATTGTGCTAAGAGGTGGTTATCGGTTGCCAGGGTTGGTTTCTATTCACCAATGGTGGGAAATGGTCGGCGTTTGCCAAATGTGATTGCTAGTTGCAGGCAGTAATGGCCCAATTTCTGATCGTTGGAGATGGCAGTCAACCACCAGATATGGCGATTGAAGATCATGGCCAAAGATGGTTGCCGGTTGCGAGATGTGGTGGTCGGAGAAAGTCATTGGTGATTGTGGCTGGAGGTTAGTGGTGACCGGATGTGGTGGCAAGTGGCGATGAGCAATGGGTGGTGGCTGGAGGGGATGGGAGGAGGAAGGAATGAAAACTTTTTTCATAAACAAGTGAACCAATTTTTTGTGATTACAAAAATATAGTAAATTTTGTAAATTGTTTACAAGTTTTAAAATATGAAGTTTTGTTTCTAGTTTTTAAAATTTTTGTAAATATAAACATTATGAAATAGGCCCCTTATATGGTGTACATCTCTGTTTCATATATTTATAATGCATATCGTTGAACAACAGTATTTTTAGATGTGTAATGTAATGCTCATTGTAGATTTTAAAATTATAAAAAAACAGTGTGCACACTTGATGGGTGTGATTGAATTCAAAATGTGAAAATTAAAACATTTTATAAATCTGAAAAAACCAACAGTTGAGAGATTTTACAAAAAAAAAAAAAAAAAAAAAAAAACCCTGAATTTTGGCATAACTGCCAATGTACTGTATATTTACCCATGTAACTGCTATAGGGGTATTTTTGAAAAAGCTGAAAAACGGAAACAGCAACACCAACTCCATGCTGGTCCATGTCCGTATCTGCAAATCATATATTTGAATAAAAATGCCATAAAATTATAATGGTTTTGAGTACATGTTATATTCATTGTTTTGTTATGAGCAAAATTTAAAGGATTTAGTAACCCTAGGGGATTGTCCTGGTGGTAAGGCCTTGGGTCTTAGGAGTGTGCTTCCTAAGGTTCAGAGATTGAAACTTCTTGGGAAAAAACCGTTGAACTAATCATGATGCACTTGCGTAAACTCCTTGCTGAGGACTTGTACTCCCCTGGGGATTAGTCGGGCTTTGATTTGAACACCCCAATACCAATAAAAAAAAATAAAAATAAATAAATAAAGGATTTAGTGGTTTTCGTTTATATGTTCCCATAAATCGGATATAATAACAGCATAAAAGGTCATTTAGCACCTCCTTCTGGTTTATGGGAAGCAGAATGGGTATTCTAGGGAACCTTTTTTGTTTGTTTACTTTATTAACTTGGTTTAAATTAACCGAATGATTTCACAGTTGACTTATTGGGTAGGTAATTCATTTTGTATCATCTACATACAGATGCTCCAGCAAGAACAGTGCGGTGGCGTGATCCTGGATTCATACATACTAGTTTTCTGAAGGAGTTGTGGTCTAATTCAGTGTATGTCAGATCTCATGCTTGCGTATCATAATATTTTGAACCTATCAAGAGTCATCAAATCTCTTGGTACTTTCATGACCCAACTCTTTGTGAACCCTTTGCTCCTACTTCCATTTCTTAAAACCAATTCCAAATTTCCCGCCTTTATTAATTGAAACCTTTATGTGTTATATTTTATGAATAGAAGTGAAAGCAAGTTGAATTTTTTTATCCCAAGTGTAACAGGTCACCATTTCTACCCGTGGAGTTAATTCAATTGATGATTGAAACTTACATATCAACTGTAATGCTCAGAGAATCTCAGATTTATAGTTATGTGTTTTCTACCTGAAGTCCTGAATGTAATGATCCTGATTAAATCATAAAAGGTATATATAATGTGTTATTAATTTGGAGATTCATACATCAACCAAGTTGTTGTACCTTTAACATATGTTCTTTCCTTTCCATTTCTTTCCTATTGATGGTTTTCTTGAAAGGTTAAATCCAGATTGTAATATCTTTTAGCTAGATGAGTTGCATTGAAGATAGAAAGTGCTACTCAATGGGTTACCAAGGAGTTTTGCTGTCAGTTCTTCAGTTTTACTTGCAATTTAACACCAGATATGTTTCACATCAATTATGCAGATATACTTACAGGCTGGGGCATAGATTGTTCAATGGTACATACATTTGGAGTCTACATTACCAATTTAGGGCGTCTTCTTATCCTGGTCAAAACTCTCCACAACGTGTAGTGATCTTTGGAGATATGGGAAAGGTTTGAGAACTCATGTGACAAACTCTACTGTGCATGCTGAAACATATCATTTCATATATTTCTAAGTTCTAAATATGACATTGTTTTTAAAATATCTATCCCCATAAACCTATATAGGCATTTAAGACACCAAACATGTAACTACATGGTAGCTGTTAGAATGTGTTAGAATATTTCCTATTTTATTCTGTTGAATATTCAGTATTCTTATTTTATGCCTTATGGCACTCCTGTAATTCTGGTGATGATTTAATATAAAAAGGGATGAGATACCACTCATACCTCTAACTTTTCTCTTCTAAAAAATAACATGGTATAAAAGCCACTCTAAAACCCTAGAAACCACAACCCTACAGCCACCTCCACACCACCACCGCATCACCACACCTGCCGAAATCCACACCACAGCAAATGTCATCCCCTTAGGGTTCTAGCAATACCAGTCACACTCTCCTAGGGCCCCAACAGGCCTAGTTGCAGCCGCCTAGGGCTTCACCAACACCCTAGGGCTCGTCGGAGCACCCCTTTTTCCAGCCCAGGTCTGTCGACAGCAGGCTTGGAGATTCAGTCGGGTGGGTTTTCACCTTCCTTAGGCTACCGACAGCCACTCAGGACCTTTCTGGTTCAGTCAGCTTTCTGGTTCAAGTCAACTCTTCCTTCTCTTTGGTTCATTTGGCTCTCTCTCCTCAGTCGACTGTGTTGGCTCTGTCTTGGGTATGGGTTGAAGTCCTTATTCGGTAATCTCATGTAATTTTGTCTTCTCTCTGCTTTGTTTTTTTCTGGCAAAGGAAAAAAAAAATGTTCTCTTAAATTACTTTTTTTTGTTCTGTTTGGTTTGTTTCCCCCATCTTCTAGGTTTGTGATTAAACCAGTGTTTGTTGTGAGGGTTCTTTAGTAGAGTATTCATGGCAGAATTGACTCGTGAGTCTACTACTTCACATGCTTCTTAGGGCGTGAGTCCTGGTTTGCTTACTACTATGACTGATTCCCTCAACCCTAGCCAGAAAATCACCACCTCTCTCTTTAATGGTCAGAATTATCTAGCGTGGTCGCGGAGTTTGACTATATTTTTGAAGAGCAAAGGGAAGCTGGGATACGTTGATGGGCGCGTTCAGGCTCCCAGTTCCACAGATCCAGGTTATGATCATTGGGAGATTACCAATTCTCTTATCATGGGCTGGTTGATACATTCCATGGTTCCGGAGATTGGTGAGAGATACTTGTTTATGGACACAACACGGGATATTTGGAAGGCTGTGGCCGCTTAGTATTCCCGCAAAGGCAATTTTTCCCAAACTTTTGAGTTATGATGCTCAATTGACCGGTCCGTTCAAGGTAAAATGACTATCCTCTAGTATTTTACTTTCCTTAGTAATGGGTGGAAGAGACTTGATCATCTTCAGGGCTACAAGCCTGTCTGTCCCATTAATTTTGCAAGGTATCAAAAATTTGTTGAGCAAGTGAGGGTCTTCAAGTTTTTGGAAGCTCTGAATGTGGAGTTTGATCCTGTTAGGAGTCGTGTGCTGGGTATGGATGTGCTTCCTTCTCTCCAAGAAGCATTTGCTTATATGCAGAATGAGAAGAGTCGTCGTTCTGCTATGCTTCCGTCTGCCTCTTCTGATCGATCTGCCCTAGTTTCTACACCCTCTCGAGATGGGAATCGTGGTTCTCGTCCTCCTTTTGAGAAGGATACCCTTTTTAGTGACTATTGTCGTCGTGCTCGCCACACCTGTGAGACTTGTTGGAAGTTGCATGGGCTGCCATCTGGGGGTCGTGGAGATCGTTCTATGTCTCAAGGGGATTGCTCGGGTCAGTCTAGAATGCTCGAGTTCATCATTCTGATACAGTTGAGCCACAATCCCCTGCTCTGGTTGTTTCCTCTGATGATATCTCTAGGTTTTCTACTTCTGAGTTGGAGGTTGCTCTTCACCACTTGTTAGACCGTCGGGCATCTGGTTCATCTTCAGGTAACTTTGCCCATTCAGGTAACTTAGCTTCTTCTACAAGTGCTTTCCTATCTCATCAATTGTTGCCTTGGATTATCGATTCTAGTGCTTCCGACTATATGTCTGGGTCTTCTGATTTGTTCACCGCTTATACCCCTTCTTCAGGAAAGGATAAAGTTAGAATTGCTGATGGTACCATTTCTTCTGTGTCAGGAAAAGATGTAATTCATGCCACTACTTCCCTTCCTTTGTCTTCTGATTTGTAATATATTTGGCTCCTAATTGACCCACTTTTAAAGGTTATCAAATGCTCATCTCTCTTCTTATACATAGTATTGGCCACCACTAGGTCAGACGTCAACACAAAATCTAAAATACCTTCTCCAGCCTCATTTCTATCACCAAACCCGTACCCACTATGCACTCTCTCATACCCTAGTTTATCTACTCCTACATGGCCATTGAAATCACCACCTATAACTAGGTTTTCTCCTATGGGCATCTCTTGTAGTACCTCATCCATTTGGTCCCAAAAAACTCTCTTAGTCTGATTATCTAATCCTACTTGAGGGGCATATGCACTAATAACGTTCACTATATTCTCACCAATAACATGTTTAATTGACATAATCCTATCGCCTTTCCTAATGACAACAATTACATTTTTTGTAAGACTCTTGGCAAGTATTATTCTTACCCCATTCTTGTGTCTATCCTTGCCACTATAATATAGCTTAAAACTGGTATCCTCTATTTCCCGAGTTTTCTCAGCCGTCCACTTAGTTTCTTGTATGCAAGTTATATTAATTCTTCTCCTAATCATGATATCCACAATTTCCATAGTCTTACCAGTTAAAGTTCTTATATTTCATGTGGCTATCCTAAATCTATAACCTTGGATTAGTTGCTTTATCCACGCTCGTCCATAAAAAAGGCGAAAACCTTTGTTCATTCTTCACTGCACCTAGGCGTCGATGCGGCGCCCCTTGCTCACTTTTTGAAACACCCCGAGGCAGGCGCAACACATCACTTAAGGGGAACAACTTAGTATTTAATCGATTCAAAGTATTAGGCTTCATGTCATAAAGGATCTGAATGGCTTTTTTACGTGTTGGTTGTCGGCTACCTAACACACAATCCTTCTCCTTTATCCGAGCTTGGGACTAGCGGAGTTGTTAAGCAATCCCGGCGGAGTTTTTTCAAACTTGTTAATAATTTTTTTTAAAAAAAACATTAAAAAAAAAAATCAAAGAACTCAACTAAATTTTTGTATAATTTATTTTTTATGCAACATAGTTACCAAAGTGTCATTTTTCCATCCAAAATTGGACAGTACTTTGTTTGGGGAGTAGATTGAGAAAAATTACAAACATTAAGGGCCAAAGTAGGAGGAAGGAATACTTTAAGGGCAACCAAAGTGGAAAAGTTTTTAAACTTAGGGGGAACGTTTAATTTACCCATTTTCATGCCATGTTGTCGCTGTCCACGTGGCGCCACGTGGCATTTTCTGTCCAAAATTAGATGGAAGTTTGTTTTGGGAGTAAATTGGAAAAAAATTCAAATGTTAAGCGCCAAAGTGGGAAAAAAATATTTAAAGGATGAGAGTGGGAAAACCCTAAAACTTTGATGTAGAATGATTAGGGCAACAACAAATCTAGGCTTTGGGGGCTGATTTTAATTGGATTTTATGGCAATAAAAATATAGGGGACAAGTAGGATTTGTTTTGGGTAAAAATGGTTTAACCATGAAAGATGAAATTTTGGGGCTGTTTAGGGGCTGTGAACAGTGAACAGTACTTTAGGCTGTTAAAAGTGCAGAAAATAAAAGAGGGAAAGGACAAGAAAAAGATAGGTCTAAGTATCACACTTCGATTATATAGAAATCACACCTAAGGTTAGGGTTGCATCACACAAACCCAAACAAGTTTCAAAGCTCTCAAAATTCTATAAAATATCAACTCTACTGAAGTATAAGCTATCGCTTTATATAGAATTTGGAAACTTCCTATAGCAACTAGAACCAAAAAAGGAAACTATTATAATATCTTTGACTTTCAAAATCAATTCAAGACCAAATAAGAAATATAAATAAAATCCAATTAAATAACTTGACTCACAAGACGATCCATGGGCGACCCCCTACAATCCATGACAATAATAATAAAAATTACTAAAATACCCTTCATCTAAAAGTCCTAGAAAACATAAAAATAATCATAAAATAAGACTAATAATACTAGACACATAATTATGTAAGATTCCTAATAATTTCTCTTTGAAATCATGCCAACGTCTAAATATTATCACTCCTTTGAATCTAGTCTTCCTTGAGCTTCTTATGCTCTGCATCAAACTTAAGGGGGCAAAGTGTAATTTACCCAAAATAGTTATAGGTTTCTTTGTGTGTAAAAGTACTTAATGTCCAGGCTTTAAGTTTACTAATAAGTGCTAATACTTAGCTGTAGTTTTAAAGTATTCTATTTCATTTTCCACCTTGCAGGATGAGGCTGATGGCTCTAATGAATATAATAATTTCCAGCATGGCTCTCTTAACACTACTAAGCAACTCATTAGAGACTTGGAGAACATAGATATAGTGTTTCACATTGGAGATATTTGCTATGCAAATGGCTATCTTTCGCAGTGGGATCAATTTATTGCACAAATTGAGCCAATTGCCTCAACTGTGCCTTTCATGGTTGCGAGGTTTGTTGGAACTTTTTGCAAAAATTGTCAGAGCATATAAATACTGAACTGGATGATTTTGGTGGAGCATATATTGTGTTGGTTGATGATTTATCTGTGCTGCAGTAATCATGAGCGTGATTGGTCGGGAACAAGTTCCTTCTATGGGAACATGGATTCAGGAGGAGAGTGTGGTGTCTTAGCCGAGACGATGTTCTATGTTCCTGCTAACACCAGATATGTTTCACATCAATTATGCAGATATACTTACAGGCTGGGGCATAGATTGTTCAATGGTACATACATTTGGAGTCCACATTACCAATTTAGGGCGTCTCCTTATCCTGGTCAAAACTCTCCACAACGTGTAGTGATCTTTGGAGATATGGGAAAGGTTTGAGAACTCATGTGACAAACTCTACTATGCATGCTGAAACATATCATTTCATATATTTCTAAGTTCTAAATATGACATTGTTTTTAAAATATCTATCCCCATAAACCTATATAGGCATTTAAGACACCAAACATGTAACTACATGGTAGCTGTTAGAATGTGTTAGAATATTTCCTATTTTATTCTGTTGAATATTCAGTATTCTTATTTTATGCCTTATGGCACTCCTGTAATTCTGGTGATGATTTAATATAAAAAGGGATGAGATACCACTCATACCTCTAACTTTTCTCTTCTAAAAAATAACATGGTATAAAAGCCACTCTAAAACCCTAGAAACCACAACCCTACAGCCACCTCCACACCACCACCGCATCACCACACCCGCCAAAATCGACACCACAGCAAATGTCATCCCTTTAGGGTTCTGGCAGTACCAGTCACAGTCTCCTAGGGCCCCGACAGGCCTAGTTGTAGCCGCCTAGGGCTTCGCCAGCACCCTAGGGCTCGTCGGAGCCCCCCTTTTTCCAGCCCAGGTCTGTCGACAGCAGGCTTGGAGATTCAGTTGGGTGGGTTTTCACCTTCCTTAGGCTACTGACAGCCACTCAGGACCTTTCTGGTTCAGTCGGCTTTCTGGTTCAAGTCGACTCTTCCTTCTCTTTCGTTCAGTCGACTCTCTCTCCTCAGTCGACTGTGTTGGCTCTGTCTTGGGTCTGGGTTGAAGTCCTTATTCGGTAATCTCATGTAATTTTGTCTTCTCTCTGCTTTGTTTTTTTCTGGCAAAGGAAAAAAAAATGTTCTCTTAAATTACTTTTTTTTGTTCTGTTTGGTATGTTTCCCCCATCTTCTAGGTTTGTGATTAAACCAGTGTTTGTTGTGAGGGTTCTTTAGTAGAGTATTCATGGCAGAATTGACTCATGAGTCTACTACTTCACATGTTTCTTAGGGCGTGAGTCCTGGTTTGCTTACTACTATGACTGATTCCCTCAACCCTAGCCAGAAAATCACCACCTCTCTCTTTAATGGTCAGAATTATCTAGCGTGGTCGCGGAGTTTGACTATATTTTTGAAGAGCAAAGAGAAGCTGGGATATGTTGATGGGCGCGTTCAGGCTCCCAGTTCCACAGATCCAGGTTATGATCATTGGGAGATTACCAATTCTCTTATCATGGGCTGGTTGATACATTCCATGGTTCCGGAGATTGGTGAGGGATACTTGTTTATAAACACAGCACAGGATATTTGGGAGGTTGTGGCCGCTTAGTATTCCCGCAAAGGCAATTTTTCCCAAACTCTTGAGTTATGATGCTCAATTGACCGGTCCGTTCAAGGTAAGATGACTATCCTCTAGTATTTTACTTTCCTTAGTAATGGGTGGAAGAGACTTGATCATCTTCAGGGCTACAAGCCTATCTGTCCCATTAATTCTGCTAGGTATCAAAAATTTGTTGAACAAGTGAGGGTCTTCAAGTTTTTGGAAGGTCTGAATGTGGAGTTTGATCCTGTTAGGAGTCGTGTGCTGGGTATGGATGTGTTTCCTTCTCTCCAAGAAGCGTTTGCTTATATGCAGAATGAGGAGAGTCGTCGTTCTGCTATGCTTCCGTCTGCCTCTTCTGATCGATCTGCCCTAGTTTCTACACCCTCTCGAGATGGGAATCGTGGTTCTCGTCCTCCTGTTGAGAAGGATACCCTTTTTAGTGACTATTGTCGTCGTGCTCGCCACACCTGTGAGACTTGTTGGAAGTTGCATGGGCTGCCATCTGGGGGTCGTAGAGATCGTTCTGTGTCTCGAGGGGATAGCTCGGGTCAGTCTAGAATGCTCGAGTTCATCATTCTGATACAGTTGAGCCACAATCCCCTGCTCCGGTTGTTTCCTCTGCTGATATCTCTAGGTTTTCTACTTCTGAGTTAGAGGTTGCTCTTCACCACTTGTTAGACCGTCAGGCATCTGGTTCATCTTCAGGTAACTTTGCCCATTCAGGTAACTTAGCTTCTTCTACAAGTGCTTTCCTATCTCATCAACTGTTTCCTTGGATTACCGATTCTAGTGCTTCCGACTATATGTCTGGGTCTTCTGATTTGTTCTCCGCTTATACCCCTTCTTCAGGACAGGATAAAGTTAGAATTGCTTATGGTACCATTTCTTCTGTGTCAGGAAAAGATGTAATTCATGCCACTGCTTCCCTTCCTTTGTCTTCTAATTTGTAATATATTTGGCTCCTAATTGACCCACTTTTAAAGGTTATCAAATGCTCATCTCTCTTCTTATACATAGTATTGGCCACCACTAGGTCAGACGTCAACACAAAATCTAAAATACTTTCTCCAGCCTCATTTCTATCACCAAAACCGTACCCATTATGCACTCTCTCATACCCTAGTTTATCTACTCCTACATGGCCATTGAAATCACCACCTATAACTAGGTTTTCTCCTACGGGTATCTCATGTAATACCTCATCCATTCGGTCCCAAAAAACTCTCTTAGTCTGATTATCTAATCCTACTTGGGGGGCATATGCACTAATAACGTTCACTATATTCTCACCAATAACATGTTTAATTGACATAATCCTATCGCATTTCCTAATGACAACAATTACATTTTTTATAAGACTCTTGGCAAGTATTATTCTTACCCCATTCTTGTGTCTATCCTTGCCACTATAATATAGCTTAAAACTGGTATTCTCTATTTCCCGAGTTTTCTCAGCCATCCACTTAGTTTCTTGTACGCAAGTTATACTAATTCTTCTCCTAATCATGATATCCACAATTTCCATAGTCTTACCAGTTAAAGTTCTTATATTTCATGTGGCTATCCTAAATCTATAACCTTGGATTAGTTGCTTTATCCACGCTCGTCCATAAAAAAGGTGAAAACCTTTGTTCATTCTTCACTGCACCTAGGCGTCGATGCGGCGCCCCTTGCTCACTTTTCGAAACACCCCGAGGTAGGCGCAACGCGTCACTTAAGGGGAACAAATTAGTATTTAATCGATTCAAAGTATTAGGCTTCATGTCATAAAGGATCCGAATGGCTTTTTTACGTGTTGGTTGTCGACTACCTAACACACAATCCTTCTCCTTTATCCGAGCTTGGGACTAGCGGAGTTGTTAAGCAACCCCGGCGGAGTTTTTTCAAACTTGTTTATAATTTTTTTTTTAAAAAAACATTAAAAAAAAAATCAAAGAACTCAACTAAATTTTTGTATAATTTATTTTTTATGCAACATAGTTACCAAAGTGTCATTTTTCCATCCAAAATTGGACAGTACTTTGTTTGGGGAGTAGATTGAGAAAAATTACAAACATTAAGGGCCAAAGTAGGAGGAAGGAATACTTTAAGGGCAACCAAAGTGGAAAAGTTTTTAAACTTAGGGGGAACGTTTAATTTACCCATTTTCATGCCATGTTGTCGCTGTCCACGTGGCGCCACGTGGCATTTTCTGTCCAAAATTAGATGGAAGTTTGTTTTGGGAGTAAATTGGAAAAAATTTCAAATGTTAAGCGCCAAAGTGGGAAAAAAATATTTAAAGGATGAGAGTGGGAAAACCCTAAAACTTTGATGTAGAATGATTAGGGCAACAACAAATCTGGGCTTTGGGGGCTGATTTTAATTGGATTTTATGGCAATAAAAATATAGGGGATGAGTAGGGTTTGTTTTGGGTAATAAATGGTTTAACCATGAAAGATGAAATTTTGGGGCTGTTTAGGGGCTGTGAACAGTGAACAGTACTTTAGGCTGTTAAAAGTGCAGAAAATAAAAGAGGGAAAGGACAAGAAAAAGATAGGTCTAAGTATCACACTTCGATTATATAGAAATCACACCTAAGGTTAGGGTTGCATCACACAAACCCAAACAAGTTTCAAAGCTCTCAAAATTCTATAAAATATCAACTCTACTGAAGTATAAGCTATCGCTTTATATAGAATTTGGAAACTTCCTATAGCAACTAGAACCAAAAAAAGAAACTATTATAATATCTTTGACTTTCAAAATCAATTCAAGACCAAATAAGAAATATAAATAAAATCCAATTAAATAACTTGACTCACAAGACGATCCATGGGCGACCCCCTACAATCCATGACAATAATAATAAAAATTACTAAAATACCCTTCATCTAAAAGTCCTAGAAAACATAAAAATAATCATAAAATAAGACTAATAATACTAGACACATAATTATATAAGATTCCTAATAATTTCTCTTTGAAATCATGCCAACGTCTAAATATTATCACTTCTTTGAATCTAGTCTTCCTTGAGCTTCTTATGCTCTGTATCAAACTTAAGGGGGCAAAGTGTAATTTACCCAAAATAGTTATATGTTTCTTTGTGTGTAAAAGTACTTAATGTCCAGGCTTTAAGTTTACTAATAAGTGCTAATACTTAGCTGCAGTTTTAAAGTATTCTTTTCCATTTTCCACCTTGCAGGATGAGGCTGATGGCTCTAATGAATATAATAATTTCCAGCATGGTTCTCTTAACACTACTAAGCAACTCATTAGAGACTTGGAGAACATAGATATAGTGTTTCACATTGGAGATATTTGCTATGCAAATGGCTATCTTTCGCAGTGGGATCAATTTACTGCA